ATTTTATAACTCAAACATGAGCTCTCATAGTAGCTGTTTTATCCTGCTTAAATGGTTAAAAAGCAGGGTTTTAGTGTGTGGCTTGCAGTTTCATACATTATGAAACTATGTGGGAGAACCATATGCCCTTTCATATACTATACTTGGCAGCAGTTTCCCTTAGATTGCTAATAACTATGGTTGCTTATGTATGAGTGCTTGTGATCTGCTTAATACAGTTTTACTGAAACCATTTATGCTGCTGCCTGTTTTATGACTTGTGGTTGGTTGTTAGAATATTTGCACCTTTTTTGTGATGATCGTGATTATAACACTTCAGAATTGCAAGCCACAGTAATCTAAAGATAGACCACAAAAAAAGGAGCATTGTCAGATTATCCAAAAGTTGCAGATGGTGCAAATGGAAAAAATATTCAGCGGCTTTTACTACTTGTTATGGATGTTACTAATGGACTTTATTAAGATGATTTGATTTGAGTGCAATTTATCTAATATATTTTACATGTTATATAAGATTTTATCTGAGCTTAAATGTTCCATCTTGTATCAGCCTTTTTGTGAAGCCGAATGTTTACAAAAGCATCAGTTCCTTCACGTTTTTAGTTTCCCCTTTTAAACAGGAAAGTATTTTTGTCTTAAAACAGACAAGTTGAGTATAAATGCATAGGCCCCAAAACTGAGTTTACACATTGTGCTAAAAACTCTGGAAGATTTAACTATGGTGTATTGAACATTACTAACCTAGCTGGGTTCTGCCAAGTTCTTGAGCCAAAAATAAACACACAAGTTGTACAAAGACAATTTCTTTTCAACAGGGAGACAAACTGAATGGAAGAGACAAACTTAAATATTTGCTATGCTAGCAGGATTAGTAGGGCAGAATATACTGGTAGTTGTAACTTATGACTACAATTAGGCCTGGAATATCTTTCAATAAGTGATGCTATTGTAAAGCATAATACAACATCACATGATCACAATCCCGCCAGTCCCAGTTGGTATTGTAACTCCAGACATGCCACGTGTCTTGTAGTTAAGTGGGAAGTAGAGTGAATCCTAGATAAGGAGCCCCTGGGAGTGCTGCAAGGGGATGTGGGGGGGGGGGGAGCCCTGGGAAGCCCAGTTAAGCTCACACACAAATTGGGGTGCTGCAGAGTGGTACAAGCTCGAGGAGGTTAGAGGAAGAGGATGGGGGGAGGAGTTGTAGGTGCAGGGAGGCCAGGGACAGAGAATCTAGGGTGCATATGTACTTTCAAAGTGGAGGAAAGCAAGAAAAAGACTACACTAAGACTTAGGATCTTCTTAGTGTCCCACAGTTCTTGGGCTAAGAGAAGCCCCTGAACCACCCCTGGGGATCTCAGCTGCCCTTTGTTCTGTGAAAGGACCCACATTGCCTAGCCTGGCTTATCCATCTCTGTGGCCCACATGAGATCATCTTCCCCAATCTTCTGACCACCTTGCATGATCTGGGAAAGAAAGCCTCACGTAGCCAGCAGAGTGGCCTGGTGGAGAGGGCCAGGCTGGTCCAGCTTGGTTAGCGATGGAGAAACGATGATTAAGTCAGGGTAGCAGGGACTGCGGAGAGGCCATGGGAAGAGAGAGAGGTGGATGGGGAGAATTAAAACAGGCTGTTAAGTGCACAAATTTTGACCTGGTGATGGTGGGGATGCTGCAATGGCCATAACTTCATGGACTGCTTGCAAGTCCCTTTTTTTTTCAGTGCTACTGTAATTTGAAACACTTACAGGTCGTAAGCGGACCTGTAGAAATGAGTATAGGAACAGCTTCTGTCAGGTGGGGTTTCCCATGTGTGATTAGCCTGCAGAATTTCAGCTAAATGCTGTCACTCTGGTCCTTTTGTGTATCCTGAAGTCACAGAAGCTGGAAAGGAATTATTGGCAATGTTACATAGAGCAGTTGCAGTGTAATAGTTGGGGAAGATGGGGGACAATTTTTCACTCTTATATGCTAATAATTTCCATATGCATGTAGAATAAAATAAGGGAATGGAGAAAGAAGAAGTCCCATATGGAGAAACAGATGTGAAGCAGCTACCAGACTGGTAGGTTGAGATAATAGTTTTTATTATCAAAATGTTCTTCTGCCTTGGCTCCCTACATTTTCGACACAGCCCTGATTGGAGATGCTTAACTGGCATACAGAGCTTGGACTAGTCCAACCAGGTGGTGCTGATCTGCTCCTAACCTAATGGACTAAACTGATAATAGAGCAGCCCTGTAAACAGGACACTTCACCCTACCACTGCTTTTCTCACAAGCCATCTTTTTTATTAAAGGAGGCATTGTTTTGCAGCCTCGGGTTATTTTTAGGTAGTGCTGCTTTGATTGGGACAGGAAAAAGCTTCAGGTCAGCTGCAGATCTGTTATCTTTCCAGTTCTGCTAGCATTGTGCAACCCCCATTTCCCAGATATCTACCACAAGTGGTTCCAATCATTGAGTTATTTGTCAGTCCTAGGCTACTGAGAAGGGGAACTGTAGATTTCTTCATTATGAGGAAAGATTGCCTTTGGGTCAGAATTTTTAGGTTGAAGAAGGAATGCTAGAAGCAAGTTTTATATTCAGGCATATCCTTCTGAAGTTGAGTGCATGTGCCTCAAATAGACCCTGATGTGAGGTCAACAGCCAGTCAGGAGAGGCCTTAAATAGCTGCTGTGAACAGTTGTGAGTTGAACTCTGAAAGGAGCTGCCAGAGATCTTATTGGCAGCAGACCAGAAGATCCCTGATTTACCTAAGAGTGCATATTAATTTATGTGTAAATGAAAAGCAAACAAATCCTTGCCTGGGGCTTTAGTTGGCATTCCCCCCCCCCCTACTTAAATGCAGTAGCTGAGAGCCAGGAAATCTTGGCTTTACAAGCCCCTTATCAGAATCAGTGAATGTCTTTGTGCAGATTTCCCCTCCTTAGGACATAGTTCATTATGGCCCATGTTAGGTGAAAATAGAACATTGTCAGTTTTACTGGTAGATGGATGAAGGCTTGTTAAGTGCTAATATAATTCATAAAATTAATGCAAAGAGGTTAGCTCCAGAGGCAAACAGCTTTTTAAAAACAATTTGTTCTCTTAATTCATACTGGCGTCAGCTTTTTGATGATATATGTTAAATATTGAATTGGGAGATTCAAAATGAAACAGAACAGAAAACCAAACAAACCTCTGGCTCTTTCCAATAAGGCTTTTAGATATAAGGTGAGAAAAAAATGTGTATTGTGAAGATGAAATAATTCTCTTCTCAGGACAAGAAAATGGTAGGCATCACAATATTGGGTAGATGGGCAATGCTATTAACATTTTTATTTTCAGAACTATGTATTTTGTTATAAATATTTAGAGAAGGGAAACTTCTTAGTAAGTGGTACTTCTGCAGTGTATAGAAAGCTGTAAGTTTCCTTTTGTCTTTTTCCTAAATAATGATTTGGATTAGCCAGATTTCCTACAGGTTCTTGCATCTTACTTCAACTTTTCCCAACCCTGCATCCTTTGTGAGTAGAGCAGAGTAGAATAATAGAATTGGAAGGGATCTTTAAGATCTTCTAGGCCAACCCCTAAGCAAGAAACCTAGACATTTCAGACAAACGTTTATCCAATCTCTTCTTAAAAGTCTCCAGGAGCATCCACAACTTCTGAAGGCAAATCATTCCACTGATTAATTGTCCTCACTATCAAGAAATTTCTCCTTATTTCTAGGTTGGATCTTATCTTCATAAGTCTGTCAGTTCCTTGTCCTTCTGTCAGATGCTTGCTGGTATTACTGGTTCAAGAAAAAGGGAGTTGTAGTCTTTGTACAGCTGCAAGTCTCATATCAGGGAAGATAGCTGAGAAATTCATTAGCTTCCGTAAAAATGTTGATGTGCCTAAAGGGAAATGGAAAAATTTGCTGTTGATAAATGTGGCTGTAGCCTTTGATACTATGAACAATGTGTAAAATGGTCTTCCACTGATATTACTGGGGAAATAGTAATTTTTTTGAAAAATGTCTAAAGTTACTAGACTTCGCAAAACAGTAATAAGGGAGGAGAGATAATCAGCAGGCCCAGCCTAAAAATAAGGGAGGAAATTGCATTCTTGTTGACTAGAGAAGCAGTTGGGAAATGAATATATTTAGATGCAATTAGATTTCTATCCCAAGGGCTGAGTGTTACCACAACTTGTCTCATATTTCATCTTCACTCCTCTGAGGAAGATTCAACAGAGAGAAGGCATGAGTAGCCCAAGGCCACTGGGTAAGCTAATTTATTGATAGCTTCATACTCCAAGCCTTGAATTTGGATTGCTGGGCTCAGGAAACTTTATTTGAATTACTTTAGTTGTTTAGCCTTTTACATAAACTTCATATTCAGATTTTTGTCTCTGCTTGCTACTGATGTATATTTTAAAAGGAGAAGGTAGCAGTTTATATTGACTTACATACGATGCATGTTTGCTAAGTGTGGAAAAAGGAAAAATGCTGCTGGCTGTTGCTGCTAAGATGTTATTTGTTCTGTCTTCTCACCCCACTGTTAGTTTTGTTTTGTTTCTTAATTTTTTTTTTAAAAAAACATCATTTGTGTCTTTCCATAAAACTAAGGCTTGGAACTTACGATGTTCAGTTAAAGACATTTGGTTACAGCAAAATTAGTAAAATCAATAAAAAAAATACTCAGCTAATACTGTGTCATTTGTTGCCGAAATACCATTTTTTAACCAACTAAAATGTGTGGCAACCACTTTGGTTTCAAGGGTTGTATGTGTTTTTCCCCCACCCATATTACATTGTGCTGGGGAAGAGGGCATTGCAGTAGTGGCTTAAAGTGTGGGATGGAAAAATATTTGTGACTGCCAATGTAGGAAGCCTCAAGGTCTAGAATAATAATTGAGAGTAGATGTGAGAAGGAATGTGAAAGCAGTTGATGAAAGCACTTTGACAGAAATGGTGCTTGCTTGCATTTTGTAGCAAATCCATTGATTCATTCCTGTCCTTTTTCTTTCTCGTTGTCTAGCTAGTGTTCCATGTGCTGCCAGTCCTGAAAAGGCCTCCCAGAACAGACCTCCAAGAGTACCGCACACATCATCATTAGATACCATCCTTGGTTCATACCTTATGGGCCAGTGGCCTCGGGATGCCGAAGGACTTCCCTTGTCACATATGAGTGACAAATCTACTCAGGTACTGGGCCTATCCTTCAGCTTACAGAAGGATCAGTATGATAGCAGATATCAAAAGAGTGAAGGAATTAGAAATCAAGAGAGTTAGATATTGTCTGTCATTAAATTTGCTATCTAATTTGGCTCCTTAAAAATAAAAGGTTATCATTATGTGTTTCAATGCAGACTTTCAATCAGAATGTCTAATTTTAATTGAAAAGGCTGAAAGGAAGAGAAGTTGCAAATTCAGAAATCAACCTTTTGACCTTGTATCTTTAACCCTTCTAAAAAGGTAAAGGTTTCCCTCACGTGCTAGTCATTTCCGGCTCTAAGGGATGGTGCTCATCTCTGTTACAAAGCTGAAGAGCCAGCACTGTCCGAAGACGTCTCCGTGGTCATGTGGCCGGCATGGCTAAATGCTGAAGGTGCACGGAACGCTGTTACCTTCCCACCAAAGTGGTCCCTATTTTTCTACTTGCATTTTTACATGCTTTTGAACTGCTAGGCCGGCAAAAGCTGGGACAAGTAACGGGAGCTCAGTCCATTACGTGGTGCTAGGGATTCGAACTGCCCACCTTTCTGATCGACAAGCTCAGTATCTTAGCCACTGAGCCACCACATCCCTTTAACCCTTCTACTTCATACTGAAGGGGTATGTCTAAATTAGGGACAAGTTAACCCTTCTACTTGTCCCTAATTTAGACATATCCCTTCAGTAGCTTCCAAATCCAGTACAATTCTATCCAGTCAGGCTATGTTTCACCTAGGCAAACACATGCAGTGCCAAGTTTATGAGATATTTTCCTTCATCTCAAAGTGATTATTATCCCTGGTCATTGCTTGGGTTCCTAGTATTCAGTTCTGCAGTAGGTGTTACACAACTGCAGAAATGTGGCTTCTGCATGGGTTAGGTGTTCTAGGAACCCTAACTTTTATCTTACGTGAGAAATAACCATTGTAATCTAAAATTGCTAAAATTGTAAAGACATGCTTTGTGAAAATTATGAAATCTAAAATGATATATCTGCTCAGTACTTACCATTATTTACTTAATTTTGATAACATATTCCCTGTCCTCTTTTACAGTAGCCATATCTTTTGTAACAGAAGCAAGAATTTATGGAACCTTTAAAAATAAATTTATTGCATACATTATTAACTAGACCGGCTTTATTTCTTAAATCAAGCCATAAAGTTTGCACCATATTAAGTTCAGTTAATATTTAATATGTTACAATAATCTATATAATAATTAGTTTAATAGGCAAGCAAGCCAAATTGTGATCCTCAATTTATTTCAGAGTTACGGGTAGCAAACTTATTTAATCCTAGGTTCTTCCCACCCCCTCCCCCAGCCCTTGAAGCTATTTTCATTGCCTATCACTGAAAAGAAATAGTATGTTGTCTTGTATTTTGAGATAGGAAACAAACAAAAATAGTAATGAATGCCTTTTTTAAAAAAAAAAAAAGAAGAAAACCCATCAACCCACTTCCCTACCCCCAGAACCCTAGGAAGAAAAACTGTAAATGTTTCATTTATTTTACAAAACTATTTTCATTTATTTTGCAAAACTATTTTGCTTGTTGGGACCCATTGGCCTCTTGCCACCAAAAGATCATCCATTTGTTGTCAACCAAACTATATTTAATACTATGGCTGAACTTAAGTTTTTTTTTTTTTTACGCTGATCCTCAGAGACCAAAGATTATGCTTCTGATTATTGAATGTGTCACCTGCCCATGATGTGTAAGTGGTAACTCGGTTCCCCCCTCCCCCCCAAAATCCATGTCAATATTCTTGTATGTATTATGGTATACTTGCAAAACTATTATGAGTCAGGACATGAAAGCAAGAGAATTATCACTCCATGTCCACCAAAAAGATACCATAGACATGTAAAATGATAATTATGCTATATATGCTTTTCTGCATGGTTCTCATCCTCTGGAACATTGTTCTCCAGGAGATGAGACCCATCCCACCCTCTTGCTCTTCCATAAGAGCCTCAAGACCTGACTCTGCCAGTGGGCCTGGGGCCCCAGTGGTCGTTCATTACATGTTGGAGATGCTTACTGGGCTAGGAAGGAGATCCCGCCTCCACCCCATAATTTTCTGATTTTTAATTTACCTAATTTTGATTAATTTAATATTTAATGTTCAAATGTTTATACTTCTGTTTTATGAAGTTTGTAAGCTGCCCAGAGTCATTGTTAGTGACATAGGTGACATATAAATGTCATAAGTGAAGAAATTTAATAAGCAAAAATTTGCAAAGTGATTTATTTGAAGCAAATCCTCTCTTTGTATGATATATGATAAATGAAGCCACTTACTATATGGTGATCGGCTGCAATTAGGTATTATTTTAATAAATTTTAACAAAATTCTGTAAAGATAGTTAAGGCTTCTAGTTAGCTTTGCTTGAGCTATAAGACTTTGTTCTTGGATAACTTCCAAATGCATTGGGTTTTAACTTTTATAGTCTCCAGATAGCATTGCCCTTACTGATTGGATATTTTTTAAATTGAAATCGAACATTGTTACAAAACACCAGAATGTTATTTATTTACTGATATTTTTTGTCCAACCATAGATGGCTAACATCTAAGCAAAATATTCATAAAGAATAATCGCTGTTACATTATAATAACATAAAACAAGTAACTATGCTTCATCTGGACATTCATTTCTAAGATCTTTGTTGCTTTGTTGCTTTACAAAAACATAAAGAAGTCTTGTACAGACTTCATGGGGCAAAATAATTCCAAAGTGAGATCAGCTAGGAAAGGATCTGTTTCTGGGTCCATCCCCACCTTGATCTGCCAAGAAGGAATTCAGTGTGAACCGGGGTGGGATTCAAATTTTTTAACAACCGAATCTGTGGGCATGGCTTGGTGGTCATGTGACTGGGTGGACGTGGCTTGGTCATGTTATTGACTGGGCATGGCCAACTCAATATCAGTCACATCAAGGCATGCATCTCCTCGCCTGGCCTCTCATGACTGTGGGGATGCTGCAACAGTCGTAAGTATGAAAAATGGTCATAAGTCACTTTGTTCAGTGCCATTGTAACTTAGAATGGTCACTCCAAACAAGCAAAGTAACAGCAAAGGAGGGGAAAAAACTCCAGAGAAGTTTCTGAGATAAGAAGTCCAGTCCTGCCAAGAACATAATAAGGGTCAATGGAGAGGCAGTTTCTGTAAGCAACACCAGAATGTTTCCTTCTTACCTTCCTTACAGGATTAGGGCAGTAATTTCTTCTAACAACCGGTTCTCCAAACTGCTTAGCATGTTAACAACCGGTTCTAGAGAATAGTTGCGAACTGGTAGAATCCCACCCCTGAGTGTGCACCTTCATGGATAGATCCAAAGGATGGATCTTCTGGAATCTAATAGATGGCCTGGAACTAAGTTATGTAATGATCAATAGTTTAAATGATGAAAGATATTTCAACCCTCTTCATATATAATACGTATTTCCCTTATGAGCAAAATAAAGAAGGTTCCCATCATCTATAAGATTCCTTTCTCTACACCCAGCTGCCGCATGTAACTTGTTATCTATTGTAATCATACAAAACATTTTACAGCTTTGATAATAAAACCTTTGAGCTATGCCTTTCCTGCAGATTATCTATCCTTGTGGTTTTCAGATTTGATTGCTTCTCAAAACACTTCCCTTCTCTTTCCTTCATATGGAAGCTATTTGACCACCGTTAGCATAATAATTTTGGAAATTTTCTATTATACTGTAGAAAGTGAGATATGGTATTTAAAGTCAGACTGCCTTAGGGAGTCTGTATTGTTGAACATTCTGAATGGAATTCCCCTATACCCATAGCTTCCTAACTAGATCTTTTATGTCTAAGAATATTTGCCCATGTAGTAGGGTTGTATTGCTGCTTTCCTTATCATCTTTCCTATTACCTTCTCCCATTGGTATCTTATGACTACATTGTTTTGTTGTTTGTATGCACACTGAGAGTTTATGCACCGGAGCATATTCCTTGGGTCCAATCACACTTGGCCAATAAAGAATTTATGTCTAGTCTAGTCTAGTGCTATTCTATTCCTATTCCTATTCTGTGTGAGAATAGAGACAGTTCGTGCAGTAAATCTACCACCCAAGTTAATTATCTTTACTGGCTTACTATTGGCATGACTGCTCTCCACGGAGCAGTTTGGACTGCCAAACTGACTTTTCCAGGAGTTCCATAGTTAAGATTTCGTATTTATTTGTTGTACTTGTATGTTTCCTTCTCCCAAACTTTCATTGTTTTGTTCAAAAATAAAAAAACCAAAAAATATTTTAAATCAGAAAGGTTAAAATGTGTATGCCCATGAACCCCACCTCTAGGAATAACACTGTCTCCATCTTTGCAAGACAGAACAAGTAAGTTTTCTATGCTTTCTTAAAGCCAAGGAGGGACCAAGATTTCTTAACCCAGGCAGGAAATTTACTGAGTCTGGACTTGTTGAATACAGCGACTTTCTGTGATGCCTTTTAAAGTTATTATAGACTTTTTGGGTTTCAAAAAAAGCTCTAATCAATAAAACATTTTCTTTTCCACTCCTACACCAGTTCTTCAGAAGGCAGAGCATTGCATTTTGGCTCCTTCCTCTTAACAGGCTGCCTGATATCAGGGCTGGGCACGGGGAGGGTTGAAAGTAAGGTTGTTTCTTTGTTGCCAGTTTTACCAAACAGGTATTGAAACACACATTTGCAGTTAATTAGACTGTGTCATATGGCTGGGGGCGGAGGGCAGGGACAGAACGGGATAAATCTCCTTGCATCTTAAATAAACCACGAGGAGGGAAATTTGTGTAATATGCTTTAAAGCAGAGCTGCAGAATTTGATGCCCTAAGCCTAAGCAAGTTGCAGTTTCCAAACACTTCCTAATACTGGGAAGTAATAACATTTGTTAAAGTTACACTGTAAATTAAGATTAAGGTTTGTGAGGATTGTACTTGCCAAACATTGGAAAGAAAAAGGGATGCTGACTGTTGAAGAATGGATTTTGAAATTGACTGAATGAGCAGAGATGGCGAAATTAACTGCTTTGATCAGACATAATGGACAAGACAGCTTTCTAAGAGACTGGAAACCGTTGGTGGACTTTTATTTATTTATTTATTTTTGTCAATTGCTTACAAGATAATAGGTATAAGTAAAAACATAGTTATGAATACATGGATACATATAAGAAAAATAAAAAAAATAAAAGAAACAATAGGACAGAGACGGTAGGCACGTTGGTGTGCATGCCAATTTTTGTTATTGTTCTGGACATATGCTTTTGTTTGTTCATTTTTCTGTTTTGTATTTTGCCTTTTATGATAAAGCAAAAGAAATATACATAAATATGAAGGTTTACTTCATCCAGTACATTTTGAAGATCGGATGCACTCAAAGATCGAGTATGGATTTTAATACAGAAACAGTTTTGTACCCCATTATACAATCTACTACACCAGTTCAGCTAAGACTTCCACCAGTTCAACTTAGTCTTCAACTAAGATACATATTCCAGACAAATTTATACTGGTAGTGAAATGAGGTTGAACTGAACTGAGGTTCCTTCTTAAAGCCTTGGATAAACTCAGCACAGAAATACTGTTTTTGTTCTCAGACTTCTTTCTCAGGGAAGCCTAGGGTGGAGGAATAGATGAGGGACTGGCTGTTCTTGAGGATTCCATCATTGCATTCATAGAAATAGGAAAAATAAACTTCAAATACAACTGGCCTATCTTCCGTAGCGGTGGTATATGTTTTCTTCATAGAGCCTAGCTCAGTAGCTTGAAAACTGATCACTGGGACAGGAAGACATTTGAGTAGGGGTGGGATTCAAATTTTTTAACAACCGATTATGTGGGTGTGGCGTAGTGATCGTGGCTTGGTGGTCATGTGACTGGGTGGACATGGCTTGGTGGTCATGTTCTTGGCTGGGCCTGGCCAACTCAACATCACTCACATCGAGGCATGCATCTCCTCGCCTGGCCTCTCATGACTGTGGGGATGCTGCAACAGTTGTAAGTGTAAAAAATAGTCATAAGTCACTTTGTTCAGTGCCATTGTAACCTTGATCACTCCACTCAAGCAAAGTACCAGCAAAGGAGGGGAAAATAATCCAGAGAAGTTCCTGAGACAGGAAGTCTAGTCCTGCCAAGAATGTAATAAGGGTTAACGGAGAGGCAGTTTGTGTAAGCAACACCAGAATGTTTCCTTCCTGTCTTCCTTACACGATTAGGCCAGTAATTTCTTCTAACAACTGGTTCTCCAAACTGCTTAGCATGTTAACAAACGGTTCTAGAGAATAGGTACGAACTGGTAGAATCCCACCCCTGCATTTGAGGAAGGGATTTGTGCTTAGCATCATGGCCAGAGGTTTTTTTTTTAATCACTCTTTTATAGCCTGGTATCCTGTATCCCTTGTTTGTTTTGGTGGAATTGTCTACCATGGTTGATAATTGACTAATGGTTTTTTTTTTTTACCGATTCACTAGAATCACAGCCATGGTGATATTTAGATGTAGCTGGTTATGTGCTCCTGCCCCAAAATGCTTTCTAAACAAAAAGGTCACTTTTCACACGGCATTTCTAGCAGAGGAGGGATCACTGCAAACAATATTTAGCCCTTGCCTGCAACTCTTCCGTAGATCTTCTCCTTATTTTTGCTAAGCCTTTTCACTGGGAATGTTGTTCCTTAGCTTCTAAACTTTTATAGTTGCTCAGCTGTTGAGGTGGTGCCATATATTGCCTCTCTAAGGTTCTTCAACATAGCTGTTTGCAGAAGTAGTTGCTAGCATTTTTTATAACAAGTACTTTGTTGAAGGTCAATTTTGTGTTCTTGATAGGTCCCTTATGCTCTTTTGGCAGCTTGTCTAGCAGAAACCTGGGGTACAAAATGAATCTTCCTAAAATTATTTCTGGTAGTTGTAAAATTAGAGGATCAGGATGAAGAGAACCAAAAGATATGGAGAAAATCTTGATACTTAATTGTGACGGATAATATATACTTAGAAACAAGGAAATACAAAAGTTTTAGCAGCTCAATCTCCTATACTGGTAGTAGAAGATTTGTCCCTTAGTTTACATTGTAAATGAGGAGTATAGAATGCCTAAGCTGGCAAGTAATATATACCTGGAAGTATTCTGACTTTTCAATATTATAATTAACTTCACTTCTGTGCAATCTAACATTGGGCACTGAATGTACCTGTTAGCATAATTGCATGGCAAGCTACTTGACATCAGTTGCAGCCAAGGGCAAACTCACTTAATGGAATTGAGTGTATATTTTCTTACAGAAGTCTTGCAGATAATTAGTGATAATGAATAATAATTGCCAGTGTCACAGTCATCCTTCAGTACAGTGAGTACTTAAAACAATGTTGTTCTTGTATCAGCCATTCTCCAAGCGTTTGGAGTTCAAGTCCATGATTTAAATAAATAAATAAAATAAATAAATTTCCCAACCAAGATCCCAAGAGGAAGGCTATCCTTACATTGATACTGCCACTGAGGCCTTAGCTTATATGAGCTTTCTTACTCTATGTAGTCTGTCATCTCTGGGTCCTGTCCCCTATCACAAAGTATGGAAAATTTTATATACTTGCAAACATTGGGTGGGATGTGAAATATATTTGGGCTCATATGCAGTGTTGTTTATTTAGTGTACTTGTCTCAATCTTAGTACTCTTTAGATATGCTATTTTAGGATATGCTAAGACTAGTTCCCAGAATTCCTAGCCAATATGACTAGAATATCCTAACATGCTGGCTGAAAAATTCTGGGACTTGAAATCCACACATCTGAGACAGCATGAAGCCTTTTTGCTAAGGTGCCCAATAAGGCATAATTTTAAAACTCTCAAGGCATAAAGTGCTGATGGAACCACTTCTTTCTGGATATCAGTACTTCAAGTAGTTGTGTAAGATTATCTTCCCTAAAATCAGTTCTAGAATTATTCTCTTTAAGGAAAAGTTATAAAATCTTTGAGATTTTTTCTGTACAGGGAAGAGATTCATATTTTTAATTCTGTACCTTTAGAATAATTTCGCAATCAGTATTTTTTCAGAATATCTCTTAGGAAGATTGCCACATTGGAACTAATCTCTTTAAACTTCCAAATGTTGAGCCAATATTGATAGCTCCTCCCTTCCTCCCTCTTTGCAGACTCCAGTATCTTGGCATGAGTCAGAGGTGGGAAAAGTTGCAGATCATAAGCGATCTGCCTCATGGAATAATATGGATCATCGTAGAGAGGTAAGATGACCACTTGGTATGTCAAGTGCCATTTATCTTACCACTATGTAATGTGCAAAAGGGATTAAATTGCCAGAGTATTTCTTGTTTTAGTGACACTATTTTCTATTCTTTTCTGGAAAACAAGAATGGTTACTCTGCAGGTAGGTTTAGTGCATCTATTTTATCATATATTCTATTCCCATTCAATGTTAAGCTAATTGTAGAAGTGTACAAGTGCACCTTATGATCACTCTTTAAAAGAGAAGTATAACAAACAATCAGAACTGATGACCCTTTGGAACAGGGATTCAAAGGTGGAATTTGTTTGCAAGATTTAAAATTAGATTTTCTATGCTCTGATAGCCTTATTTGCATATATTTATTTTATTTGTTTATTATCTAACAAATACCGGGATACTTGTTTTTGTCTACCATAGTTTAGTTTTCAAGGCATTATGAAAACCAAATATATAATAATTTTTTTAAAAAAACCACTCTAAACAATAATAAATCAGTAGCATTTCACAAAGAAATAAGAATTCCTGAGATAGTAATGATAGAGCTCCGCAAAACTAGCAAATCTTGAAATTTCTGTACCCCTTTTCTTTGCAATTTGATCAGAGAGAGTGCAATCCTCCAGAACTACCTTGGCACCATTTAAATGAAGAAATGAATGCCCACCATCAATACATCTATCTTTTTGGGACTGCGTCTCAGTTTATTGATTTGTTTGGTCTAGTGATTAAGACACTAAACTAGAATCTGGGAGCCTTTGAATTCTAGTCCTGCTTTAGGCCTGAAAGTTGGCTGGGTGTCTTTGGGCCAGGTACTCTGTCTCAGCCCAGCTCAATTCACAAGGTTATTAATAAGGGGGAAAATGGGATAAAGATGGAGTATTAGGTATGTCTGCAACCTTGAATTACGAATAAAAATAATAAAGAAGGGATAAAAATAAATTAAAAAATAAATCTCATCCATTACGCTACTCAAGACTAGTAACTTTTCATTTTCTAGATTGCTAAACTGAAGCAACAGCTCCAGCGAACAAAGCTTGCTGTTTGGAATAGCAAAGAGAAAGACCAGAGCTTTTCCACTCAAGGCAGTTATAACATGGTCTCATCAACCAAGGTATCTTCTTCTTCTTTTTGTATCTTTTCTTTAATGTTCCTATTAGAAAATGGCAGGGAAACAGAAACTCTTGGACTGAGGGAAAGAAAGTTTTATTGAGATTTTTTTTTCTAAAGCAAAACATTCAATTTTCAATGGCTTGTATAGGGAAACTGGAACAATTTTCCTTCAGCCCTACAGCATAATATAAAGAATATGGGTATTTTTTTGTGTCTGTTGACTATATTGGCATAGTATATTGAGATTGTGCATGACTTGTTTAAAGTTCCACTAGAATTCATAGTTAAGATGCAGCATGAACTAGACACAGCAGATTATATCAGCTATATCTATACCAGTCCATTTCCAGTTGTCTCCCAAACTGCCATTTTCATTTGACAATTAGCGGAAAAAGGTCTATTGCTCAGCGTAAGAATCTTATTGATATGCAGATGGTCAAGTGCCTGGAGCAACATTAAATTAGAAAGATCTGTAAGAATCATTGGCTATATTTATGTGAAACAAAAAGCCCCACACATAGCCAACTATATATTAGCTTAGCTATATGTGATCCCTGCAGGTAAATTATAATTCAGCATGTGGTGAAAATTAAAAAAATTGGAACGACATTAGCAAGCATAGTCTATTAAATCATGAAATAAGAGAACTGTCAGACTATTGGAGATCAGTGGAGTAATTGCCAAATTTTAAAGTACGTTCATAACAGGTGGGAGAGTGTTGGTCCACAAAGTTATGTGCTATCTATCCACCTTGGAGAATATTCTATGCTTGCACCAAGCTATTTACAGCTTCTTGATACAACACTGCATGTCCTTGTTTGTAGGGTTCCCCACTTGCATCTTTTCCAGTCCTGGGCACAAAGATCAGCCCTTCTTTCCACAACAGTTCGGACAGTATCAATCAGGAATTGGAAGAGGTATTTGTAAAGGAGCAAGGAGACGAGGAACTCCTCAGAGTGAGTTGTGGCTGGTGGGGTGAGATATGAGAGTCACCTTATCTGGAACTCAGAACATGTCAGCTTTTGCTGGATGTTTACACTGTTTTCACTGCCAGTTTTAATTAGTAAAGCTCCTCCCATCCAAAAACAACTGCATGCTTTTTTCCATGCATGAATTGGATTCTCTACTTTGAAATTTCCAATATTTTGTATAAAAAGGAAAGGGAAATTCTGGCTATCATAATTTCTTCTGGCTATGAAGTACAAAATACATATTCATAGAGATGTACGCTGCACTGTTCTTCACAAGGGCAGATCATCAGAGAGAGCAAATGTGTAAAGTCCACTTTTCAGCACAAATTACGTTTTGCTTTGCAGGAGATAGTGATGATTCTGGAATAGAAAATAGCAACTGTGAGCATCATATCACTGTGTAGTCCAGCAGGGAGAAGGAGCTTGGAGAAAGGAATTTTGGGGGCATGGGCTGAAACCCAGGTCTGAAATAGACTCCAAACGGAATCTCAGCCTGAGAATACTTGCCCCTGATTGGAAACCAGTTAAAATTAAAAAATAATTTTAGGGTTCTAGGTTTATATTTACAAGCTATATATAGATATATCTGAGAAATAGATATATCTGTTCCAAACCCCATTCTTAGTTTCTTAATAGAAGTCAATATGTTCCTATTGTAACCAACCGAAGTCTTTCCTGCATTCCATTCAGTTGCATTGTATGACAGCAGTGTTTGCTAACTTCAGCAACTATAAAATATGTAAATTTCAGCTCCTAGATTTCTTAACGGTGACAATGCTGGGGGGGGGGGGGGGGAGATTTTAGGATTGAAGTTCACATATCTTAAAGTTGCTGATGTTGAATAGAAATTTAAAAGAATTTTTGAATTCTCCAAGTGCTTTTATTGGTGACAGCAAAACAAAATGGTTCCAAAGATACACACAATACCCCCGAAGCAAGAAGGTTTTGCAATAGAGCTTGTAACAGTGTACCTATGAGAAAAACTAAGTCTCCAATGATTTCTTAGTAAATGGAAAAAGGAAAAAGTAGGAGAGTTTTTTTCACATGCATCTGCAGGGCATTTCAACCTTATCATTGACTCTTTTCAAATGTTGTGTCCAGCACTGGTAGTAAATATTGATCTAGGCCACCCTTATTGAAGATTGATAAATGTGGCCTTTAAACTTGTGTCTTTTTCACAAAGTTGATTTCACAAAGTTGAATTAGAGTGCTTTAGATATTACTCACTTATAAAAAGCATATCACATTTTAGTCAAATTTCATCATGGTATCACTGCATCTTAACTCTTTGTCTTGCACCCAAGTCTATTATTGCCATCTAATCTAAGTTATGGGTAGTCCTATCTATAGGGTATGGCTTATGTGGGGAAAATGATTGTTAGTCCTTTGGGTTTTCTAGCTCTCTGCCCTTCACACCATTATTTCTGAAGCTTATCTATATTCCATCAAGTTATGGCAAAGGAACAGGAGTACTTTTGCCAATATTTATGTTATATAAATTGCTAGAAGAATGTTTTTGGAAGAAGTGGGATAAAATGCTTTAAATATTTTAAAATGTTGTCTGGGTCTCCCCATGACACTGCCCATTCCTGCTGGCTTCTTTGTGCTTAGAGGGTGTGCTTTCTTTTAGATATTGGATGTCCCAGATGGGCACAGAGCTCCACTTCCTTTCCAAAGAAATACTGAAGATTCCTTGATGCCACGACTGCCAAACAATAGTAGCCCCTGCAGCAGTCTTTCTCTTTCTCCATCCCCTTCAGATGCTCTTCGACAATCCCCACATTCTCCTGCCCGGATGATAAGTGATGAAGATTTGCCTGAGGTTTTAGCTAAGCTAGTATTGGAGAACAAAGGTAGAGGTAAGTTGGATAGGTTAGTAGTAGTCTGCTGTTCTACAGAGCCTTGAAGAATTGAATGGGGGGGGGGGGGTTTATCAGCTTGTTGTTTTAAATGGTCTTTGACATTCAGCAACTTGAGGATGCATTCTGGAAGGATTAGGAATGAAAAAGAGATCCCTCTTATATGTAAACAAATATAAATAAAATTACTTCGTTATTTAAGTAACTAATTGTTTAGTAAACAATTGGATCAGATTATTTCTATTGGATGGGCAGTGTTTTTGACGACTGAGGACTAAACATTTTGGATGTGGCAAAAAGGATGGTGCATAGTGGCTGGAAGACAAAATGTGATTCTCTCCTCCCCTTACCCTTGAAATTTGGAGGTAATGTGATTTTTTTTCTTTTGAGTTTTATAAATGGTTACGCCTATTTTAGAACATGTTTTTTAACCCCTAAATGGCAAGGTTCAATTTTGGCAACTGTGAACAGAGGTTGTTCCGCAGAGTGTTACGAGGGCAAAACTTCACCTGTTTTTTTTATGTGCATTGTATGTCATGCCCACTAGCTTCACTTTTTTTTTACTATACCTTATGGACATCCTTGATATGAAAGTCTTATCATTAAACACAATGAGACAATGTTTGCTTCTTTTGAAACTGTTTTTCTAATTGGGAGCTGCCCAGAGTTGGTTGAAGATGGGTAGCTTTATAAATGTTTTAAATAAATGATAGATAGCTATCTGGGCATCTGTCTGTCTGGGCATATCTCTCTCTCTCTCTCTCTCTCTCTCTCTCTCTCTCTCTCTCTCTCTGCCTCCCTCCCTCCCCCCCCCTCTGTGTATGTATGTGTATGTGTATGTGTGTGTGTGTAT